GAAATATACCTTGCACAAATGGGGAATAGACTAGAAAAACCACCGTTTGGCACTTACTTTCAAATAGCGATTTTCCTGTCTATTCCCAAGTAAGATATTTTATTGCGTTTTACAAAACAAATTAGTAACAATATTGTTATCAAACTGTTTCACCATTTTCAGGAATGGATCAAAAAATTGGACAAAGAAATGAAGGATTTAAATCATCAAATCTTACTTATCCTAGATGGTGCTTCATCACATGTTACTCGTACTCTTACGCTAACTAATATAAAAGTACTTAAATTACCTTCACATTCATTATTAAAGATACAACCTATAGATGCTGATATCATTGCATCGCTTAAGCTTCATTATCGTCATATGCAACTTCAACGTGCAATTGACCTTGACGAAGCTGGAGAACGTAATATCTATAAAATTGATCAATTGCAAGCTATGAGATGGGTAAAGGTTGCCTGGGGTGAGATATCTGCTGAAACAATTAAAAATTGCTGGTTATATACAAAGATTGTTTCTCCTCGTAATGAAAATGGAGTACTAGTCATCTTGTCCCCTCTTGTTGAAGACATGGAAGTGGAAGAAAGTTTCTTCATTGATCTAGATAATAAATCGGCTGCCAAGGAGCTTCAGCAAACATTAGATGCATTACACATTCGTAATCCAATGTCAATTGAAGAGTTGCTAGATTTTGAGGAAGAAAAAATAGAGATACATCAACAATTTAATGATAATGATCTTATTCAAGCCGCCACAGAGATAGAACATGCAGAAAATGAAGTCATTATACAATCCTTAACCGGTAAAGAACAGTTGGATATTTTGCGCAATGTCCTGAGAATAGTTGACGAGAGAATTGATGATAGTGGGGTTATAATGAAATCTTTGCGCAAGCTTCAATCGCGTATTCATAAAGAGGTCAGAAAGGAAGAGGCCGAAAAGCAGGTCCAGTCTACACTGGATTAATTCTTTCAAAACCTGAGCGATAAATAGCATTACATGTTAGTTATAATTTTAGGAATGAATCAACTCGAAAATTTTATTACAAACAGGTAAGATTTCTTTACAATTATATACAAAAAAAATTATCCTTTGATATGAGATTATAGTAATGTCAGTGGACAAAAAAATTATAAATAAAGGTCAGTTACTTATTAGCGAGTATAGAATGTTGATTTTATCTTTGTAAACTGTAATAAATTAATAAGTTTGTTTTAATTATAAGATCACTTGTACAATATCCAGGTCTAGTATGTTTCATTCTAACAGAACCCAGGTATTGCAAGTTTAAAAGTTTATGTCATAGAAAATAAAAAATTCGATATGCATTTATTTATTATATGCAACCTCGATTTTTAAAAAGAACTGCGTATATTCAATTAAAAAATTTGCTGAGAAAGGTTTTTTATATAGACGTCGATATGAGGTTAAATTAACATCTAACACGTAAATGACAGTTAATTTTATACGATTTGACTGGATACATTTCATGTAACATTATTTCGCAAATCAGAAACCTAGTTATAGAGGCTATTGGATATCAGAAATTGGAGGTTATCGGGTATTAATTATGGAACAAGCATGGTAGATCGATTTTTAACCGATTATAGCAGGTTATCGATTTTAACAGGATCGGTTTAGGGAGGGCCGACTGTATTGACAAAGGATTGCTATAGTGGAGTTGATTTCCTTTTGTTGTTTAATAGGTATGTTGATGTAGATTTTGTCAGTAATTTTTTCAAGTGCTTCTTATAGTTCAACTAGGCTTTGTGCTATCATTAATTTTTTGTTAGTTTTGATCTTATGAATTTCGTTAGGTGTGATAGGTATATTAATTCATTCTAGTGGGATATGTTTGAAGTAGTATTTTTCTCTAAGGAGTTTAGCTGTTTCTACTAGTATTCTAGATAATGTAATAGGTACTGTAATGTTGAATGCCTTAATCTTTGTAGGGTCTGAAGGTAGTCTTGGTTTGTTTGTAAGGTTGGCTGTCAGGATTGACTTGTTTATAGGAAAGTTTATCCTATATTTTGTCTTTACCTCTTTAAAGAATTCTTGTGCTATTTTGTTGTTAGTGATTGGGTAAGTAAATTTGGTGTGTAGTTTGATTTTGTTTGGATTCTGTAGTAATATGGACTTTTATACAAAGAAGTCATTTGGTATACTTCTAAACTTGTAGTATTTTCTGAGTACTTCTGCTATATCTCTAATATTTGTTTCTTCTAATGATGGATCAATGAGGAAGAGGTGTCTAACTTCACTATTTAGTTCGTTGTAGGTTAGTAGTAGAGGTTCTCATTCTGGTGGTAAAGCAAAGTAGGTTGCAGGTATTTTAGTAAAGCTGTAATGGTTGATGAGTTTCTTTTTGTAAAACCATAGCTCTTTTAGTTGTTTTGGGTCCATAATAGGAAAATAGATTTTTAGTTCATCTTTTAGTTCTGATGGTTTGTCTGAAAGTTTTGATAGTGTAGTAAAATAGGTGTTTGGTAAACTAGAAAAGTTAAAAATTATTTTAAAAGTATTAACAATTGCTTTTGTTTGAGATCTTTGCTTGATTGGTAGTTCGAAAGGTAATATGTTCTTGGTTTGGCTGTCTATTTCCTCAGGAGTTTCAGGTAGTTGTTGTCGTTGAATGCTATATGCTTAATTGACTGCTGTTTGGATTTGTTTGTAGTCTGTGATAAGTTTTGCATGGATAAAGTTTCGGCTATATTTAATTATCTGATATGCCTTGCTTGGTGAGAGTTGTCTAAAGTTGAGGTTTGTAAGGTATTCTACCATTAATTTTTGTCTCAGCTTGTGTTGAATTATGTCTCTAG